TGCATTCTAATTCTGGCTCTGACCAATGAGGTGGCTAAGTGACTTCATTATTCCAGATCTCAGTTGAGTATCTGAGAAATGAAGGGGCTGAACAGTGATCTGTGTTTTACACAAGATAAAGCCCTGGGAGGCTGAGACCATGATTACCTTTCCAGTAGTCCTGCCTTAGGTATTTGCTAGTTCGCGCCACTCCTCCTAACAGCCTCTGCGTCCTCTGACTTCAGGTAGATGCCTGGATCTTTGTAACGGTACTCTTGGCTCATTGCTCATCTTTCCTGTAGAAGCTGAAACTGCCCAGTGGTTTCTGTACCGCTGCTGTACCTTCCACTTTTGTCTATAGGAATGCCCCTCACCCCTTTTCCATGGTTTAACCACATGGAAAGTTATAGGGGCTTTCCTGTATAGTTTAGGATCACTGAAGCCTCTTGGGAGGATCCTTTAATAAACTTCAAGAAATAATGCAATTTCTTTAAGATAATGCTAATTTTCATTAACTTGGTGTGCTGGCTTTGTCTCCAAGTATGACTTCTGAGTATAGCAAGCGAGGAGGCTTCAGGCAGTCAGCTCTTGCTCCTCCTGGAAAGAAAGGGTCATGACTAGAACCGGGCCACAGTATTCAGCAGCCCAGCAGGAAGGAAAACCCCCACCAGAAGTGGGGCTCTCTGCCTGTATTCTACCTGGATGCACATTGACTGAGGGCCTGGGGTTGCCCCTTGGAAGGCATTTCCAGAGCTCAGGAAAGGAAGTTCCCACGACTCCAGGTACCTTGTACCCACTCAGATGTACCATATGTAAAAAGAAAGGAAAAAAAAAAACTGTTTATAAACTCTTGGCACCAGATTTCTGCTGGCAGTCCAACTCATCTTGACGCGCTGGTGCGAAACGGCTGTGCTGGCCTTTGGTTGTGTGGTTCTCAAGTAGGACAGCACTGAGAAGGAAAATATTAACAGCAAATAGTAAAATCATTGTGAATTTTACCACTAATAGTGGTTAAAAACAAACAAACAAAAAACCCAAACATCTTAAGTTTCAAGCTTCCTGATCAGTTTACATCAGGGAAAGAAAGTAATTTATGCAAAAGTCAAGTAACTCATTAAACTTCTATATTTATGAGTGATCCTAGCAGCCAGTTGAAATGGACAGAGGGATTGAATTATAGTTTAAAGTGAAGTCAGTCTTTGGGGTCATGGAATGATTAAAACAAAACAAAAACCATTTAAATTATGTATATGTATTCTAAGTCTCCTGACTGCCTCTCATTAGCTCCGTGGTCCTCAGAGAGCTGCTTTAATGTTTTTGAGTCTCTTTGTAATGTTTTCCTCAGTAAAATGAACAGCCTGGTTAGATTATTTCAAAGGTCTTCATTTCTAAATTATGTTCATTACCTAAATTTGCATTGATCAATGCAGTGGAAAAGGATCTTTTAAATCAATCAAGCTGAACTACTTTTCTTCCTTACAGACCGCTTTTGTTGTTGATGAAGTGAGCAACATTGTAAAAGAGGTAAGAGAAGAAACGCTTCCTAAAAAGGAGTGTTTGATTAATGGCTTGTATGAGTGAAAATAATGTGTTTTAAATACTGTCTTGGAATTGTTTCAACTGAGCCTGTGTGTTTTGTCATTTCAAATAACAGTTTTTATTTCAATGAATATCTAGATAAGAATTACTCCCATATTATGTAAATTATATATTTTAAATGAGACAGAAAATTTTGCTAGCATTATTACTGAATGTTACTAAGGCTTGATTCTATAACCTCTTAGCATAAAAGTTGCATGGTATACAAATGAATGTTCTTAGTGCTTAATGAAAAGTGAATATTAAAAAACTGAACAACTTCCATTTACTGAAGACCCATGATCAGTTAGGGCTTATTTTTCTTACATTCCTAAACCACCCACTTTATCAAACATGGTCCCTCCCTTAGATGATGAGAAGGAGTCAAAAAAGGCTGTTGTTCATTCATTCAAAAATATGTATCAAGAGGACATGCAGGAAGCTGTCGTGCAGAGAGTTTACAGAATAGGGGAGGGCCAACATTTATCAAATAATTACACTCAAAAATGTAAACCTGCATTCCCTGATGATAACTGGCACAGTATATGGTGCTTTGAGGGGTTAACCCAGCTAGTGAGTTCAGAGCTGGAATCTGGAGAAAATAGAAGTAGTGTTAACTCAGTGAAAAGAGGGGGACGGACATTCCGGGCAGTGGACAAGTGCAAAGGCCCTGTGGTCCGGAGTGTGCCTGGTGTGTCTGAGGGACTAGAACGAGGTGGATGTGGCTGGACTAGTGCAGAGCGCTGGGGGAGCCTGGGGCAGGAACGTGGCTAGAAACATTTTCCTAATCAGTCCCCCCCACCCCTACATTGACCACAGATAGTGAAGACTGAGCACAGTGAAGCCAGTGGCTAAAAGATAGCCCTTAGATGATCTAAGGTTAACAGTACCATTTGAGGTTATGTATGTGATTTGGAATTGACTTTAATGCAAATTATTATTAATACAAACTATTGACTAATGCCAGAGTAATAAAGAACCACAACCTATTTTTGTGAATATCATCAAAAAGCAGAGTGGTTTTGTTCTACCGTATGTATTGTTCAACATCAGGCATGATTTTCTAGTTGCTTTGCAGGGTCTGTAACATTTCCTTTTCATTGTTTTTCAAAAAACAGTGTTTCTGAGTGGGAAGGGATAAATTGGGAATTTGAAATTCCCACCTCTGGGAGAGTGATGGAAGTGTTAGCTATCTTGATTGTAGTGGTGGTTTCATTGGTGTATACATCTATCAAAATCCATCAGATTGTACATCTGAAATATGTGTAGTTTACTGTACAGGAATCATACCACCAAAAAAGGTGTTAAAAATAATAAATAAATTATGATAATAAATATTCGAAACAAAACAAACAAAAACTGGTGTTCCATGCAAACACAGCAGGAGGACGGGTGAATTGCGCCAGGCCTGGGAGAAGTAGAGTCGGTTGGTTGCGACATCTCCTCGGGCCTCACTTGTTTCAATTATCTTTGACTTGGTTCCCAGGCAGCAAATACAGTTGCAAGCAGACCTTCCAAGTCTCCATGGAAGCACAGGGTAATACTGCAGTGTTACTTTCACACGATCACCAGCCTCAACAGCTTTTTTTTTTTTTTTTTTTTTGGCTCCTGGCAATAGATTAATTCTGTACTATTTTAAGTGTTGGGTAATAGTAAATTTGGATGGGTCCAAAATTAGAGGAGGGTTTTCCTCCCTCCCTGAAAAACAATCATTCCGAAGTGTGTGTGGAGAGAGTTGCCAGAGTTAGAGGTTTAGCCTGAGTGCATACCCTGGTCCCTTGGAACCCGGAGCTCCTGTGCCCCAGCCCCACAGTAAGCTCTGAGCTGGGGAGGGGGCGAGACAGGCAAAGAAGGGGAAGAAGGAGCTGTGATAATGGGGGACGGAGAGCCAGAGACCACGCAGAGTCCCAGGATGACTAGGAATTTTTACAGGTAAAAATCAGGGTGTGACTGTAGGTAGCTTTTTGTTCCTCAAAACCAAGATCACTGGGCTCAGGCCCCAAGCCGTAGACCCCAATCTATCACCATAGTGTACAACTCAGATCCTGGGACTTTTTTCCTACATGTCTGAGGACAGAACATGGCCCTCACTGAATGTTGTTATTTTAGGCCATAATTATCATTAAAAACTATTTTCCAGCTTCAGCACAAGCTAGAAAAGGGGTAGAGAAGAAAGCTGCTTAGAAGCAGGCACACTGGCATCAACATAAAAGGCCCAGAAAATCATAAAATGGGAATATTGTCACTACCATCTTAACTAGGAGTACGGCAAGGAACCACGTGTATTCCTCAGTAACTCTTGAAGCGTACAGTGTGAACCCTCCCCAGAGTGCAGTGCAGGAAGGAAGACAAGGAACTTCGTAACAAAGAAGATCATCACCAACTTAAAATAAGTTCTGGAATGTGTAGAGCAG